CTGAATAGGAAGTGGAGCAGCTGGGACTAGAACTGGCACCCATATGGGATGCCGGTGCTTCAGGCTAAGGTGTTAATCTGCTGCACCACAGTGCTGGCCCCCCAGAATAGCTTTTTTATTATTATTATAAAGAGCAACTAAGATTTTTTAAATTGTCATATATATTCTCCTTTCAAATGTTGCATGGTACTGAAGAAACTGTTGGAAGTAATGCTACAATTATAGAAATTGAAAAAAAAGGAAATTTTTAGGAAAAATTACTAATTTTCAAATTGGAACTAAAAACTTAGTTTTCCATGTGTTCACATTTATATTTATTAAAGCACAGAGTTTCTTCTGCTTTGACTTTTTCAAAAAATTCTTCTTGAATGTAAAAGACTCTCAGTATCTAAACTCATGAGTACTATCATAAATTAACACATTAAGTGACTTGGGCTTACTTGTAATTAAATATAAGAGGAAAATAATATCTTCTGGTTTGGAACTATCAATGTTTAAACTTCTCTTGAGCATAAATTTCCAAAGCCAGAAACAAGAATGGTAAATTAGAATTCACTAAGCTACAGCTACCGCATGTCCGCAGAAGGAAACAGGACACAAGATGCATCCTACTTCACTTTCTCTTTTAGCACACTCCCTGAATCCCCAAAAATAATTAAGATTACAAGCAAACTTCATTACTCAAATCCCATTCATGTAGGTGTTCTTCAGTGCAAGAGTCCTGAATTTCCCTGAATCTAGTTCACATAGTTTTGGTTATCTTAAAAATGCTTTCAGGGGTGGGCCAAGTTGCCTCTTGGGACACCCATATCCTGTATCACAGTGCCAGTTGCAGTCTTAGCTTTTCTGTTTCTAATCCAGTTTTCTCCTAATGCACACTCTGGGAGGCAGCAGATGATGGCTCAAGTGTTTGATCCCCTGTCACTCACTTGGGAAACTCAATGGAGTTGCCCTAGTTGTAGCACATACTTGGGGAGTGAACCAGTGGATGGATGGATGGATGATATCTCTCTCTCTCTTTCTCTCTCTCTCTCTCCCTTTCAAGTAGATGAAAACAAACTTTTTTTTTTTTTGACAGGCAGGGTGGATAGTGAGAGAGAGAGACAGAGAGAAAGGTCTTCCTTTTTTTTTTTTTAACTTTCATTTAATGAATATAAATTTCCAAAGTACAGCTTATGGATTACAATGGCTTCCCCCCCATAACGTCCCTCCCACCCGCAACCCTCCCCTTTCCCACCCCCTCTCCCCTTCCATTCACATGAGGATACATTTTCGATTCTCTTTATATACAGAAGACCTTTTTGCCGTTGGTTCACCCTCCAATGGCCGCCACGGCTGGTACGCTGCGGCCGGCGCACCACGCTGATCTGAAGGCAGGAGCCAGGTGCTTCTCCTGGTCTCCCATGGGGTGCAGGGCCCAAGTACTTGGGCCATCCTCCACTGCCTTCCCCGGCCACAGCAGAGAGCTGGCCTGGAAGAGGGGCAACTAGGACAGAATCTGGAGCCCCGACCAGGACTAGAACCTGGTGTGCCGGCGCCACTAGGTGGAGGATTAGCCTATGGAGCTGCAGCGACGGCCGAAAACAAACATTTTTTAAAAGCATTTTTTAAAATGTTTTCAGAATAGTGCTAGTACTTACATGAAAACCTGCTTAAAACATTCAGTCTCAATGATCAATAGCAATTACAACATTTTAAAATGACATATTTCTTACTTCTTTGTCTTTACTTAACCAACTTTTGTGGTTTGGAGTTCTGTTTGTTTCAGTTTACTTTGTTTCTTCCAACCTAACTGAGCTGCATATCATCTTACAATAGGTATTTGTGATGAAAATCCAAATTAGGAAATTATTGTGACTTTCCCTTCCCTCAGAAAGAAGATATGTCACAGAGTCAAATAAGAACATATTGTCAAATTCATATAACAGACTCCCTAATTGATATGCAAAATTTCAAATTTCATAAGATTCAAGAGGAAAAATGGATATGGAGGAGAGCATCCTGCAGCAGCTCTTTGGCCCATTACACGCAGCGTAACAGCAGTGTTGGGAAGGGGACTTCCCTTTTCTTCCCTCGGGCTTCTGAACAATTCCTTCCCTTCTACTACTGCTCGGATGCCATGACCTTTCCTTCATTCAACAGCTGCACACCAGGCATTGGCCCTGACCCATGGAGCTTACATCTGGAAGGAGAGGCATGCTCTTCATCCAGCTGGATCCTCCCAACACCAACAGGCAGTAGAGAGTGGGAATGGGGCACTGTGTTTACACAAGCCCACCCTGAATGTTCTGCATAGCTCAGGGAAAGAGTGTACATGGAGGCCCACACCCATATGTCTAAACGTATGCTTAGGCATTTTTAAAAGCTATAAGTCAAGCTAAAAAACACCCACATGTTCTATTCTTTTACCTTGACTTTCACAATGGCCTCTGGGCCTACTGCTCAGGTCTAAGGACAGAATTGTGATCAAGAAGCACAGAGGTAGCTTCTATTTTGCAGTATCAGTTAAGAGCAGGACAGAGAGGACAGAAGTGAAGAACCAGAGGCCTGGACTGTGCCACCAAGTAAGCCCTACCACCACCCCCACACCGGCGTTCCTCCCACTCAGCCAGCCAGCCAGCAGCAGCAAAGCAAGGGGAAAAGGGAGATGTTACATAGACTGCCGCTGCAAGAACTGGTGTTCCTATAAGAGCAGAGAACACAGCACAGAGCCATCACGAGGAGAGAAGGGGAAGAAGGGAGTTGGGAGGAAATTAATGCTCAAAGTCAATTCTACCCAATTCAGAGGGACAGAAACACAAACACAAGAAAACACGAGCAGCAGCATTTAAAGAGATGCTTATTCAACTACACCAAAATTTCATTATTTTTAATTTAAATTTTAATATATTTGCAAAAATACATAAACATATATACAAAGAAACTTTATTTTTGTCATTTTTAAAAGATTTTGTTTGTTTATTTATTTATTTGAAAGGCAGAGCTACAGAGAGAAAGGGAGCGACAGAGAGATCTTCCATTGCTGGTTCACTCCCCAAATGGCTACAGTGGCAGCACATCCTACGATGATGGGTACTATTATGGAAAGTGAAGACAGTTAATGGAGAGACGAGGAAGGGGGCATGTCTTCCCAGACACAGTTAGGGAAAGACAGAGTCACAGGGGTCAAGAGGAAAGGAATTGGTAAGTGCTCAGCCTGTTCAAGTTCAGCAAGGATAGTCACAAGGAGAGGTATGGTTTCCATGATCTGAGGTACATTTTGAAAGAAGCATTTTAAGGAAAAAAAAAGACCCAAAAGAGGTAAAAATACTGTACAGCCATAATTATAGGAGAAATTAGAAAAATTATTTTTAAAAAGGGTCCAAATGACTTTTTAGGTGACTTCTATCATGCCTTGGAAGAACTGATTATGAGGTTCCCAGAATCTGTAAAACAAACCAGACCTGGGTATACATATCACCACCAACACCCCTGTATCTACTGCACATGCTGTGTACTCCCAGTCACACATTTACTTTATAAGCCTATGGTCCCCAAACTTCAGTCATTCAGGTACCACCTTCACAATTTCTGATGTTTCCAAATATCATCTATAGTACATAAAAATCATACTTAATGTTTATTTAAATTGACTACCTCAAAAGGTAAACTTACATTACTATCAAAAATCAGTATCACTTGTCAAGATCAATTAAAATAACTACATAATTATTTTAATGTTTTAAATATTTTTCTGCATAAATACCAAAGAGTAGTTCAGTCTCTTCCAATATTTGGAACTGGCATAAGGACAATATTTTAAGAAATATTGCTATAGGTCAAGGCCACTTAGGACACCAGGTATAAAAATTTTAAATATAATGTTGGAAATTCTACTACATAGTAGGTCAAGTTTTATGTAAGAAATAAATAGAATACTGGAATAAAAGAATGACGTGGCATTTGGGATAAACATGATACGTGCCTATCAAATATGTACACAGAGAGGGATATAGGAATATATTACAATGCATATTTCAAAACCATTCATTATCACTTGTGAGGTGAGAGGTGTAATGTCATATAATCAAGTTCCTAGAATTCACACTTAGTGCTGTGGTTCTCAACCGGAGATGATTTTGTCCTCCAGGATTCACTTGGCAATGTCTGAGGACATTTTTGATTGTCACAGCTAGGGAGGCTACTACAGGCACCAGGTAGGTAGAGGCCAGAGATGCTGTTAAATGTCCTATGTTGAATGCACAAGACAGTTCCTGGATGGTAAACAATTATCTAGTACAAAATTCCAATAGTAATGAAGTTGACTGACTTATAAAAAATGTAACATCTGATTCCAAATCTAATTCCAAGTCCACTGCTCTTTTCATTACACTATATAGCATCCCCACCACGGAATTACAACATTATTTCTGGGTCACTGTTGTTCAACAGGCTAAGCCATATGCCCACATCAGCCTGCTGGGAGAACCAGATGTAGTTCCTGGCTTAGCAGGAACAGTTCCTGTTGCAGACATGTGGAGAATGGAGAGCAGAACAAAGATCTCTCTCTATCGCTCACTGTCACTCTGCCTTTCAAATAAATAAATACATCTTTTTAAAAATACATTTTTTTCTTTTCAACTTTTATTTAATATATATAAATTTCTAAAGTGCAACTCTTGAATTATAGCAGCTTTTCCCCCTATAATCTCCCTCCCACCCACAACCATCCCATCTCCCACTCCCTCTCCCATTCCATTCTTCATCATGATTCATTTTCAATTATCTTTATATACAGAAGATCAATTTAGTACATACTAAGTAAAGACTTCAACAGGCTGCACCCACAAAGACACACAAAGTTTACATACAGTACTGTTTTGAGTACTAGTTTTACCATTAATTCTCATAGTAACAACACATTGAGGACAGAGGTCCTGCATGGGGAGCAGGTGCACAGTGACTCCCGTTGTTGATTTAACAATTGACACTCTTATTTATGATGTCAGTAATCACCCAAGGCTCTTGTCATGAGCTGCCAAGGCTATGGAAGACTCCTGAGTTCACCAGCTCCAATCTTATTTAGACAAGGCCATATTCAAAATGGAAGTTTTCTCCTCCCTTCAGAGAAAGGTACTGCCTTCTTAGATGACCCATTCTTTCCACTGGTATCTCACTTACAGAGATCTTTCATTTAGGTGGTTTTTTGTTTTTTGTTTTTGTTTGTTTGTTTTGCCACAATGTCTTGGCTTTCCATGCCTACAAATCTTTCATGGGCTTTTTAGCTAGATCTGAATGCCTTAAGGACTGATTCTGAGGCCAGAGCGCTGTTTAGGGCATTTGCCATTCTATGAGTCTGCTGTGTATCCTGCTTCCCATGTAGGATCATTCTCTCCTTCTTAATTCTATCAATTATTATTTGCAGACACTGGTTTTTATGTAATCTCTTTGACACTTAATCCTATCTTTTTGATCAATTGTGAACTTAAACTGATCACTTTGACTAGTAAGATGGTTGGTAAATGCCACCTTGATGGGATTGAATTTGAATCCCCTGGCACATTTCTAGCTCTACCATTAGGGGTAAGTCCGAGTGAGCATGTGCCAAACTGTACATCTCCTCCCTCTCTTATTCCCACTCTTATATTTAGCAGGGATCACTTTTCAGTTAAATTTAAATGACTAAGAATAATTGTGTGTTAATTAAAGAGTTCAACCAATGGTATTAAGCAGAACAACAACAACAACAACAACAACAAACCACTAAAAGGAATAAAATAGTAAGTTGTTCCTTGACAGGACAAGGGCTGATCAAGTCACTGTTTCTCATAGTGTCCATTTCACTTCAACAGGTTTTCTTTTAAGTGGGGCCGGCTCTATGGTGTGGTACATAAAGCTGGTATCCCATATGGGAACCAGTTCACATCCTGAGTGCTCCTCTTCTGATCTAGCTCCCTGGTAATGGCCTGGATAAAGCAGCGGGAGATGGCCCAAGTGCTCTGTTACCTATGTGGGAGACCCAGAAGAAGCTCTTGGCTCCTGGCTGAGGCCTAGCCCAACCCTGGCTATTGCAACCATCTGGAGAGTGAACCAGCAGATGGAAGATATTTTCTCTCTCCCTCCCTCTCACCCTCCCTCCAACTCTTTCACACAAATAAATCTTTTTTAAAAATACATTCTTTTTAGGGGAAAATGTATTTTGCTCCACCTGCACTGTCATATAAGTACCGCGCACTCACCGATTGTGCAACTGGAGCTCTTGGGGGAAAATGTATTTTGAATTCCAATGAACTCTAAGATGTACCTAAACACTATACCTACGTGAACAGTCACGACTGAGAGAGAAGACAGCTCACTGTGAAAGGAGTGTTCCTCCTCCAGAAAAATGACTTTGACACCAGAAAGTTAATGCATTCCTTCCACCACCCAGCGATGCCAGATGCTTTAACAGCAGTCCATCAGAGTGCCTGTCCAGCCAATTTTCTCCTGTGACATGAACATTCCTCGTTGACCTCAATATGTTCTGGAAACCTGGGTTCATTATTTTCAGCTGTCCTGAGAAATCTTGTCACAGGCTAATGTGTTTTAAATACTGTTTGCTTGTGCCATTTGCACAATTTATGTACCAGGGGAAAACTGGACTACTTTAAACAAACATATTTTTATCCCTCTGCAACTGTTCTAAAAGAGTACTGCTATTTGAAAAATGGAAGGAGGCATAAACACGTTACTTTATTTTTCTTCAGTTAACTACCTTGACCTACTTTTTCTAACGTGTTTCTATTCCTTTACTCCAACTGCAGAGAGGTGAAGAAAACAGTTAATAAGGTATTTTGTGTCAAATATAGAATAGCTTGTGTCCATCAATCTCTGGGTATGCTAGAGGCAAACATACTAAATATTTCCACCCTTCCGTGTGGAGCAGCTAAAATACAAATTATAAAACTAAACCACGAAACACAGCCTTCAAGATCACAATTTAAGAGCTGGCAAAAGAAAGCTATTGGATTGAATTCTCACTGCAGCTGATAGGCAGGAAGTGTTTGATTCTCAAAGTTCACGGATTATAAAAAGCTTCACTGTGTGTGCAGAGGGTTGAGTGTAGGATGAGTAGGTGGGGTATAATAAGAAAGAACACTATTTTGGTTCTTTAGAGGATTTAATTCCTTTATCCTAGCCTTCCACTAATATTTGTGAGGATATGCAAAGCACCCCAGAGTATCTGTCCCCAGCTCTGTAACTTCTGCCCTTTCCCCTCCATCACCTTGTACCCCAGAGGCACCCTCCCTGATGAGCACAATCATTCCTTTCCTTCATCTCTCCTCCACTTTTCCCTTTCTAAAGATAATGCCAGTACTTCCTACAGAGTTTCTTATTAATATTTTTTAAATTTTTTAAAAGATTTATTTATTTATTTGAAAGTCAGAGTTACACAGAGAGGAGAGGCAGAGAGAGAGAGAGAGAGAGAGAGAGAGAGAGAGAAGTCTTCCATCCATTGGTTCACTCCCCAATTGCCCCAACAGCCGGAGCTGCACTGATCCAAAGCCAGGAGCCAGGACATCCCTCCAGGTCTCCTATGCGGATGCAGGATTCCAAGGACTTGGGCCATCCTCGATTGCTTTCCCAGGCCACAGAAGAGAGATGGATCAGAAGTGGAGCAGCCAGGACTCGAACTGCTGCAGGCAGCGGCTTTACCCACTACACCACAGCACCGGCCCCTCCTTATATTTTCATCAGTTTAAAAAAAAAAAAAAAATTACTACTCTGCACAAAAAACTCTACCCATTGCAAGACAAACATGAATTATTAAATGTTTAAATGAGCTTCCAACTCAAATGTAGGAAAATTAAAAAATGGTTTAGTTATAGAATTTTCTTTCTTTTTTTTGGTTTTTTTTTTAACTTTTATGTAGTAAATATAAACTTCCAAAGTACATCTTATGGATTACAAGATTACAAGAGGACTTAAATGAGAGATCTCTGCGAGTAAGATCCCAGTAGAAAGAATGGGCCATCAAAGAAGGAGGTACCTTTCTCTGAAGGGAGGAGTGAATTTCCACTTTGACTATGACATTGTCCAAATAAGATCAATGTCCACGAACTCAAAAGGCTTCCATAGCCTTGGCAACTCATGACAAGAGCCTAGGGTGATTACTGATGCCATAAACAAGAGTGTCAATTGTTAAGTCAACAACAGGAGTCACTGTACACTTACTCCTCAGGTAGGATCTCTGTCCTTAATGTGTTGTTCAATGTGAATTAATGCTATAACTAGTACTGAAACAGTATTTTACACTTTATGTTCTGTGTGGGTGCAAATTGTTGAAATCTTTACTTAATATATACCAAATTGATCTTCTGTATATAAAGATAATTAAAAATGAATCTTGATGTGAATGGAATGGGAGAGGGAGCAGGAGTTGGGAGGGTTGCGGGTGGGAGGGAAGTTATGGGGGGGAAGAATTTTCTTTCTTAAAATGACCTTGTCATATTTCAAAACTTTTTAAATAAAAACATTCGAGCCCTGAACATTAATGATGCTAAGCTTTTCTTAGATTGTATTATTTTGTATTTATCTGAAAGGCAGAGTGACAGAGAGAAGGAGATCTTCCATCTGTTGGTTCACTCCCCAAATGGCTGTGACAGTCAGGCCTGGGCCAGACTGAAACCAAGAGCCAGGAACTCCATTCAGGTTTTCCACATGGGTGCAGAAGTCCAGGTATGTGGACCATTTTCTGCTGCTTTCCCAGGCACATTAGCAAGGAGCTAGATCAGAAGTGGAGCAGTCAGGACACTAAATCGGCACTCCCAGATGAGATCCAGCATTGCAGGTGGCGGCTTAACCCACTGTACCACAACGCTGGCCCATCTAATTTTTTGAGGTAGGATTATTGTAGTGATTTTCCACAAATGCGGGATTTTTTACCTTGCCATCTATTTTTTCATATGGTGCGATCAAAAGCCCAGAAAAGCTATAGACCAGCACTTCTAATTATAGTGTAGTTCTGTGGTTTTAATTAGTAGTATAAAACTAATTTAACAGTGACTTACTTTTCCCTGCATATTTATAACCACAAGCAATTAGCAGTAAGGACTGTGAGGACTTCTCCCCTGCCCTCTTGAAAAATCTCTAAAAATTAGACCTTGTAATCTAGTTGATGATAATGCAGATTCAGTAAATAACTTATTTTGGAACTCTAAAATATGAAATTTCTAAATGTGAAATCAAAAACACTAAAAGTACAATTAAATAAACTTATCAAAATATCAATAAATAATTCCATTCATTTTCTGAAATCAATAAAATAGCAGTGGACTTTAAAACCAAATGATGTATTGCACACTGCAGAGGTAAAAATTGATTCCACAACCTATTCTCCAGCCTGCTGCACCAATACCTTCATACTATTCATCCAACAAACATGTGAATGTCTACTATATGCTAGAGAGGGTAGTCAGGGTTCAGAATTCAGTGGTGAGCAAAACAAAGACCATCTCAGAGCTTACAGATTGAAATAAAATAAATAAGCATATTATGGTAGGTGTGACTGCAGAGGCAACAGTGCTATAAAAAAATATTCCAGAACAAGGAAGACTAACAAAGACCAAACCATGGTTACTGTATGAGAAAGCTGATGATGGTATGGTTTTACCTTCTAGAGTAATCCACCTGATGAATAGTCAGTAAACATCTACTACGTGTTCAGCACAATGCCAAGCACCTGTCCTCAAACAAAGCTTAATTCTAGTTGGTGAGAAAATCATCCATTTACAATGAGAATACAAAACATTAAACAATGACATACTTAGCCATGCACAACAAATGAACATAGTAAGAAACCACAACAGTAGCCTAGGTTAACGGAAGAATTTGATAGGCATGGAAGATGGGGAAAATTCATATGTGGAGATGTACGGTGGATAAAAATTTCATCCACATCATTGCAACTCAAAGAGTGGTCTACATACCGGTATCCATTGGCAAATGGTTTGCCATTGGTCTATGATGTTAAGTACAGAAGGAGAAAGCAGTCAGAAACCTTTCTAACATTTGAAATTGCAAGCTCACAGCCCATGGACTTCACTTAATGAGCAGATCACAGACCAGTGAGGGCACTATTCAAATTCATGGTCTGGGACATGTGTGACATGAGCTGCCAGTGTTGTGCAGAACATTATGACATATAATACTTCAGGCTAACCCAGAAGTTTATAAAACCCAGAAACCATTTATGTCTTCAAGAGGCAAGTCATTATTTTCAAATGGTTGAAAGTGGTTCTTGAGAAAGAATAGAAGATTAATTTTGAAAATAATAGCTTCACTCTAGACAAAAGTTTAAAATGAATATCCTAAGCTTAATAAATTGTTTTTAAAATCTCTTCTTTGAGAGAACATAAACATCCCTTCTTTGAGATAGGTTTCTGTGTTTTAAATGTCATTAAAATAAATCTAAAACATTTTTAGGTATGAATTAGACCTTCTGAGAAGCATTTATCATCAGTTCAACCTAGATGAGAAGTTAACAAGCAGAGAGCAAGCTCATTTGTAGCATTAAACAATTTTAACACTAGCATGTTTCAAGTTATATTTATAGTGTACATATGAATTTTTAATTTGGTAGTCACTACTTCATTTAAATATATAGTTATAATTGTAGGACAACCAAGTTATGAATTTAATAAAAATTCTCATAAGTTTCCTAAATGCACTTCCAAGGAACATGTATATAGTTTAAGTATATTTTTGCACTTTTTTCCTTTTTCCTATATTATTTGGGTTTTTTGATCTTTTGTTATTTATTGAAATGTAATTTTGTCTGCTTAATTTAATACTAAAAAGTCCGGGCTTATATTTTGTTATATCTGGTTTTTGCTTTATTTTGTAGTAGTAATTCATAGTATCAGTCCACAATGTACTGGGAAGTAAAATTTAGAAAAAGAAAAACTGGTCCTGCTCCACAGATAATTTGAGAAATACTGATCTACTCTAGCCTGCTAGAAAACCAGCCGGAGTTATACAATTATAGCTTTCCCTAGGGCCATATTTTCCAAATTCAGGATGTGTTGCTTGGTAACAGACTAGGCATTAAATTACCTGGAATCAGACAGGAAGAAAGTCATTGCAAGCTGGTTTGTTTAGAAGAGGTCTGAGACTTTTAGCAAGCATCAGTTATGCTAGATAAAGGCTGTACATCCCATGGCTCAAGAGCTTGCTACCAGGCAGTTATTAGAATGAAATCAAGTCACAGACTAAATTCAGCCAAAGAAACATACATTATCCAGCAGGCACAAAGTCTGTTTTACAGCTTGAGGAAGTCCACTTTCTTCTTCAGTTACTTCCTACTATTATCTAACATAAAAGATAAACCTCCAGAGAAATGTGGGGGTGCCTGGTGACTGGACAACCCAGTGTCCTGGGGCCACTGCAACATTGGCAACTCCTGGGCTTCCCACAATGCATCCAAACAAAGTAGCACACATTTCCCAGATGAAAAACCATTCCTCATGTCCCTTAGGCTAATTAAATCTTTCAAGGCAGAGTTCTACAACAATATTTGAAGTTCTAGATATTCAATATGGAAGGTGTGAATTCCTTATTAGGGAATGTGAAATAATACCTCCCCCATCTAAGGGGAAATCAAGGTAAGGATCATACCACTTATAATAATTCACTTTCTATTTTTTTTATTTTTATGTATTTATTTTATTTATTTATTTATTTTTTTTTTTTTTTTTTTGACAGGCAGAGTGGATAGTGAAAGAGAGAGAGACAGAGAGAAAGGTCTTGCTTTTGCCGCTGGTTCTCCCTCCAATGGCCACCACGGCTGGTACGCTGCGGCCAGCACACCGCGCTGATCCGAAGGCAGGAGCCAGGTGCTTCTCCTGGTCTCCCATGGGATGCAGGGCCCAAGCACTTGGGCCGTCCTCCACTGCACTCCCGGGCCACAGCAGAGAGCTGGCCTGGAAGAGGGGCAACCGGGACAGAATCCGGCTCCCTGACCGGGGCTAGAACCCAGTGTGCCGGCACCACTAGGTGGAGGATTAGCCTATTGAGCCACGGCGCCGGCCAATAATTCACTTTCAAACTAAATTAATACATACACAAAGTAATAATTTTATTTCAATACTGCTACTGACACACAGTCTGTTTAATGAAGGTTGTCTTTAATAATTCTCCAATATGACTAATCTTTCATGTTAACAAAGGGTAGAAATTCAGTTTAATGCCTATGGCAAGACTCAGTATCCAGTGAGAAGTTTGTTTTCACTGTAACGATGTTACAGGTACCTTCCTTATTAATGCAATAGGCGTGCAGAGTTATCTTCTATAATCAGTTTCCTTACATTAAATAAAAAGTAAATATAAAGAAAATATTAGATAATCGGTAGTAGAAGCAGTATTATAAGGCAAAAACTTGTGGAAATTCTCCTGTTCTCATTTAGAAATCTTCCTAATCTACCTTCCCAAAGCCTCACAAATATCAGCTCACACGAGTTTGTGGAGGACAGCTAGTGCTAGAAAGCCTGGGGCTCAGAGTTTCCCATAATCCTTCCCCAAAGGTAAATCCCATGGGCTAATCCCTCCTCGCTGCAACTCTTCCCGCTTTAACACCTATTAGAGAGCATGTGATTCTCAATTCGTTTATGTTTGTATTGTTGGGATTTGACTAGTCAATGGAAAATAAAGTCAGACATACTATTCTTAATCATAGAAATTAAGTTATACATAAGCTACATTACCACCATCCTGTTCTTGTGGGAGGTACAACATGCTGGGCGTCCCCTATTTACAGTTTGTTGCCTCAAGCAGCAAAAAGCTCATAGATTTGCAAAATCATCCCTGATCGTCAATGGCAGAAGCACCAGGGCTAGAACCCTGACAACCTGGCATTCTACTCCCAGCTCCACCAACAGAACATGATGCTCCTTCAAAAAGCAAAGCAAAACAAACCAAAAAGCACAGAAGGCTTTTCTATTGTGCACATCCCAGGCATTGTCAACACATCACTGTTCCATTGTTCTGCCCATTCTTCATCAGAGCAGTCACAACTGCGTGGTCATGCCTGGTTCCTTTCTTAATTCTAACAGAAGCAAGAGGAGAGAATTCCACATCCCTACAACTTTTCATTGTGTAGAACTCCAAACTCCCTATTTTAAAGTTTCATTCAAAGGCTTGGCTAACAGAATGAGTAGTCACATATCTGGAAATTCTATGGCTTTCTCTGATCTGTTTTAGTGAAATGCTCCCAAAACTGTCAACTGAGATTTCCTTTATCTGTGCAGAGAAGTTGTGGTCACCCAGAAGCAGGACAGTGATTTGACTAATGAGAGCAATTCTGGCCATCACACACTCTGTTTTCTCAGAAACAGATATTGAATGAGGTTGAGGGTTATAACCACATGCAGAAACCACACCATATGGAATCAATGTTCCTGCACACAATTAAACAGTAACTTTTAAGACAGAAAAAGGTTCTGGTACTGCCAGAGCAAAACCATCCTGCTAAGTACCCAAAGAACTGTTGATTTCTATTTCCCTAAGTGATGCTTGCATTGATGGAGAACAATACTTTGGGGGCAGACATTTGGACCAGTTGTTAAAACTCCCCCATCTCATACCATATAGGTTTGACACCCACCTCTGGCTCACTCCTGCTTCCTGCTAATGCAGCCCTTTGGTGGCAGCAGTGATGGCTAAAGTAATCGGGTCTCTATCACCCTTGGGGGAAACTGCAATTGAGTTCCTGGCTCTGGGCCTCAGCCTCAGCCCAGTTCTAGCCATTGCAGACATTTGGGCAGTGAACCAGCAGATTGGAGCACTGTCTCTCTCAACTCTCACTCTCTGCCTCTCAAATAAATGAACAAATACATATTTTTAAAAAGAATGATACTCTGAAAGGGTATCTCTAGGTATGTCTAGGAAGAAATATATATATATTATTATCTCTTTTCACAATTTGGTGACTCAATTTTGTTTGGCAAGAGGAACTCAAATTATCATAAATATATTTAAGTGGCATTTTGTTATTATTAAAAGAGAATTAGGGGCCACTGTTGTGGTGTAGTAGGTTAAACCACCACCTGTGACAAGACATCCCATGTGGACACTGGATCGTGTCCTGGCTATTCCACTTTCATCCTAGTTCCCTGCCAATAGTCTGGGAAAATAGCATAAGATGGCTCAAGTACTTGGGCCCCTTCACCCACGTGGGAGACCCTGATGAAGTGCCTAGCTCCTGGCTTCAGCCTGGCCCGGCTCTGGCCATTGCAGACATTTGGGGAGTGACCCAGTGGATAGAAGATCTATCTCTCTCTCTGTCTGTCTCTCTCTCTCTCTCACTTTGCCTTTCAAATAAATATATAAATTTTTTTAAAAAGAGAATTAACATGGATTTTGATCTTTCTGCCACCAATTCCCTGTGATCTCAGGAAAGTCACAACCTATCTGAACCTCTGAACCTTATTTCTTTACTTGTCAAATCAGGCTCAAAAAGTTATAAGGGAAAAAATGTTCAAGGAGATATTCTTGGGAAATATATGTAAATATTAGTGGTTGTTATGAAGATATGGCCAAGGCCTAAAGATAAGGGGCATGCTCATGTCTGGCCACCTGACTCACTCACATTGGAACTCTGTCGCATGAAAAACAAACAGCTCTGCCCTCTTGGCCACTGTATTATTGGATTTCTTTGTTACATCAGCCTACTTTAACTAATGCAGTTATTAGGACCTAAAACAGAGGTTACAAATGAACCGAGACAAACTAAATCCCATTTACAGATATAATTTGCTTGATCTTTTCAGTGCTTGTCTACACAATATTCTATATGTTTAATTTCTACTTAGTTGTCAACATTTAAAGATGAGGACATTTTACATCCAAGATTCTTTGGGGAAAAAAAAAAGGATCTCACAACAATGAGTTCTTATTTACAAAATAATTGGAAATATAACACTTGGGTGGAACTAAATAGACTTGTCCCCTGTGGAAGGCCCATGCTCTATCTAGTTCCCCATAGCCTCCCACTATTATAGCAGGCCTGCTTTACTTAGTTTTCTTACTCTAAGCAAGTCCTAATAAATATTTCACTGTGCAAGACTCATTATATAAATCTGTGAACATTTAAACTTGGGAAGGGGGTTATATAATGTCATGAAATTTGAATCCAAGGAGCAATATATTAAAATAGTTAATTTCTACCAAATTGCTCTCCACTAAGTTTGGCCTGTTCACCACACTATAACTAACAAATAACCATCCTTACATAGTATAGACCACAATATCCCTTCTCACCTGGTTTTAAAGCAGTAGTCTTCCAACCTTCTATCTTATCGACCTATTCCCTCACAGCATTAAAATCATAGTCACTTTCCAAAATTATAAACTTAGTACCCTCCTTTGCAATAGTTTTATCTGAACCTTAGGATAAATCCTAAACTTCTTACCTAAACTGCTAATGCCTCACCATTGTTTGGGGAGCAGTCTTAAAATTTACTTCCAAATACAGTTATCTAGTGAGATAACAGATCAGGGAAGGAGGGAAGGAAAGAAGGAGGGAGGGAGGGAGAGAGAAAGCGAGAAACCAGAGACAGTTAACATTTCAGTTTCCTAATCAGAAATGTACTTCTGTCAACACTGCAAAGACCCTATGCAGGTATCCATCCTCTAGAAATTACTATCCCAAATCCTGACTGTCCTGTGGGAGGGGAATAAATGTGTTTTAGTTTAAGTCACTCTAACATGTGATCTCTTCCTTGCGGCACCTTAAATTAGGCCCTAACACTACACCTAGTGTTTTCTGTTCTTTCAATACTCAGGCTCCCTCTTACCATTAGTTCTTCGTATTCTTCCCTCTCCCTGGAACTTTCCCATCTCCTAATCTTCATGGGACCAATTTGTTATAAGATTAATTCATTAGTTAATTAATTAAGCAAAGGGACAGAGAGGGAAGGAGAGACAAAGATCTTCCATCCACTAGTTCATTCTCCAAATATCTGTAACAGCCAAGACTGGGCCAAGCCAAAGCCAGGAGCCAGGAACTCCATCCTGGTCTCCTGCAAGGGTGGCAGGGACCCACGTAATTGAGTCATCGTCTGCTGCCTTTCTCAGACACATTAACAAGGAATTGGTTCAGAAGTAGAGTAACTGGGATGCCACCTGGCACTCTGAAATGCCAGCCTTGCAAGCAGTGGCTTAACCCCCTGTGCCACAATGCCAGTCCCTGGGCAAGTTTCTACTTTAGCTCTCACTTCCACTGAAAGATTATCTCCAGTCCTAAGACTGAGTCCTAAGACTGTATCCCCTTGATACATATTCCAATAACTTCCAGCCACCATTTTATGTACCAGTGGTTCATTAGTCAGTATGAGGCATGCCAGAAGTAATTTTTCATTAGTGAAATCAAGATTAAAAGAGCCTGAGTTCCTGAGCAATCTTTAAGAGTAGAACCAGCCATCTACCCTGACCTGTTGACCAACTCCAGGCTATTTCAATGTGGGAAATAAAAGTCTTCTTTGTTCAAGCTACTAAAATTTGCAATGATTTACTAGAGCTACTCAGCTTGTACCTTAATACACTTACTATATTAAATGTTCTTCAGGACTACAAACAGACCAGTGTTCTCTCTCACCTGATTCTTCATATGCTGTTTTCTGAGCCTGGAATATTCTTCTTACCTCCAAATGCTAACCTAGCTTACTACTAGCCTGACTGCAGCTTAAAGATAATCTTCACAGAGATATTCCCTGATCTTGAAAGTCCACAAGATCTTCACTGAGTACTCCAGTATTAGACTCTGCATACTTCTCATCATTTTGTCAACACACTCTACAGCTTAAAGATAATCTTCACAGAGATATTCCCTGATCTTGAAAGTCCACAAGATCTTCACTGAGTACTCCAGTATTAGACTCTGCATACTTCTCATCATTTTGTCAACACACTCTACTGCTCCTAGATTGCTAATAGTCTCTTTCCTGAGAAACATTAAGCTGCTTGCAGTGATAGCTACATCTCACTTGTTCACTGCTATACTGTGGCATCAACCCTGTGCCCCACACACTACTGCATCCTCACACTGTGATCACACAGGGCACGTCCCTCTAGCATGGCCACAGCAACATCTGGAAAGATCCTGTCAGTGACCAGGCTGTAATCTATTGTTCCAGATGTTATTGTATTTTACTTATAATAGTACTAATAAGAAGGAGAAGGAGGAGAACATAAGAGGGGGAAGGAACTGAGGATGGAGGAGGAACAGGTTAGTTTGGCATCAACTGACATGGCTTAGGGAAGTCTTCAGTGTAGGCTGTTCCCCAAAATGTCTTGCTAAGAAAATACATTCGAGGCCGGCGCCGCGGCTCACTAGGCTAATCCTCCGCCTTGCGGCGCTGGCACACCGGGTTCTAGTCCCGGTCGGGGTGCCGGATTCTGTCCTGGTTGCCCCTCTTCCAGGCCAGCTCTCTGCTGTGGCCAGGGAGTGCAGTGGAGGATGGCCCAGGTGCTTGGGCCCTGCACCCCATGGGAGACCAGGAAAAGCACCTGGCTCCTGGCTCCTGGCTCCTGCCATCGGATCAGCGCGGTGTGCCGGCCGCAGCGCGCCGGCCGCGGCGGCCATTGGAGGGTGAACCAACGGCAAAAGGAAGACCTTTCTCTCTGTCTCTCTCTCTCACTGTCCACCCTGCCTGTCAAAAAATAAAAAAATATATAAAAAATAAAAATAAAAAAAAGAAAATACATTCGAAATATTTTGGGGAGGGAATTGAAGAAAATTAACAAACATATGGTTTTCTTTAGCTAGAATTTATTTCATATCCATAGCATATAATTTTTTAGTATGGAAGCCAACTAAATGCCCTTTTACTATCTTCATCCCAGATAGAACTTCAATTGCATTTTAGCTGTGTTGTTTAGCTGTGGTGGGTATTGTGGTACAGCAGGTTAAACTGCTGTTGGGACACTGCATCCTTACCAGACTGCCTCTGTTTAAGTTCTGCTTCCACTTCCAATCCAGATTCCTGCTAATGTGCACCCTGGAAGGCAGAAGATGGTGGCTCAAGCACTTGGGTCCATGCCACCCATGTAGAACTGGATGGAGTTCCCAGATTCTGGCTTCAGCCTGGTCCAGCCTGAGATGTTGATTGTGTGTGTGTGTGTGTGTGTACTAATAAATTATAATTCTATGAAAATGTCCAACCAGAAGTCATCTTACCTCGTGGAGAGAAACTGTAGGAAAATCCTTACACTGAGAATTAGCAGCCAATGTCATTGCAAAGTTTCTAACACACTAATGCTCATTGCTGACATGGAACATTCTGGAGCCTCTCTACATTAGGAAACAACTTCATCTACCACAAGTAAACCTTGCCCTTTAAATCATTAGGAATCACAGTAGCCACCACAGTTTTGTAACCTTCTCACTTCTCTTTCCACCTTCCTGCTTTCCCCTTCATTTGCAGGCTACAGAAAAACAGAGCTCCTATTCCTTAATCTCAGCAAAATCGTATGTATTCTTGTCCATCACACAGGAAAGGGAACATACAGATGTAATTTCAATCTTGATCTTCCATTAGCAATGTATTTAATTAGGCAAGTAGCTCTGTAATCGTCATTTTAAACCAGGCTGACTTTTTTCTGGCTCAATTTATTTCACTAAAATTATCGAGTAGATGTTAGATTCTAGAATTTAATTAAGAGCACAAAATGAAAGCTTTATAATTACTTCCATTTTGCTTTGCATCAAAAATAAGACAGATTTTGCTTGAGATAAAAATATAATACTAGCCTTGTGGAAAATGATTGTTGTACATAATTTATATCCTCATTCCCATGAACTATCTGACCCAGTGTATCTGCTACTTTGATATTGTTCATGAGCTATCAGCTTGGCTGTGGATTTGATTTGTTTCTCTATGACTGCTCTGATTTACCGTTGCACACTATTCCCAGATTCGTGATTTCATCTGCTTTTACTGATAATGTGTCTGCTAAGATATCCCAACTTTGTGTCCTAAACTAAAGGAGATCAGACAACTTGAAAGCAGAATCACAGCCTTTAACATCCTTTACAATCAGCCACTTATAGTTCTGTCTCATAGATGTAATTCCAGACCACAGGAAATCTTCAGTCTGCCTGTAAATGAGTCTTCAGTGTGTGTCAGGGCCTCTTGCCCTAGTGCAGCAAAAAATCTTGGCTTTGCTCCTAAATAATGCAGCTCTTCTCAACCACAAACACTAAACCACTCATATGTCAGCATTAATAAACAGGCATAAATTACTGGTAGCAACACACTGGGAGATCTGAATTCAGTGAGTGTGAAACATCAGGGAGAAATTTGTCACTTTTCTCCTCTTTAAATAATACATACCTAAGGACCAGGAAAGAGTATTTTCAGCTTTAGAAACAAGAGTGGGGGTTGAAATGATAGCTAATCCTCTTCTATTCTCTTATGCTTCACTCTATCTCCCATAAATATCAGAATAGATTCTGCATATTCTAGTAAATGTAGGCCAGCTGCTGTGACGCAGAAAGGAGATTTGGGGCTTTGAGATATAAATTTTTCAAAGAGCTAAAAGTAGCTCCCAAGAACCTGCCTAACACAACTGCCTGCCACAGCCTCAGACAGTGTTTCCATGGTCCTGCTACTGTGAAACAAGGGGAGTGCTCACTGTGCTTATTCCAGCGACTTCCCCTAGCAGGGCAAGGTTTGACCAGAATAAGCCAGGTAGGGGCAAACATTTCCCAACAAGCCCAAGATTCCAAAATCTGATCCTATTTCAATTGCCAAATTGTCCCCCACATCTAAATGGAGACATTTTTGAAATGGCAAATACTAAATTAACAAAGTGGCTAACTCCAAAGCTAATGAGTATTTCCTTCCATCTATACCAATTTTCACAACAAAATGAGAAAAAAAGTTGTCCCTATAACAATCAAAGATCTTCATTCTTCTTCAATTGCTAAAAAAGCTAGCCCCTAAAATTTATATTTAAAGCTTTGTTGGTTGGCTTCATTTCTCACAACATAAAAGAGATTCCCAAATTTGTGAAGATCAGTGCTGCTTTCAGAAAGTTAGCAAAGACTTCAATTGAATAAACACAAAATCAAGACCAATATTAAATTCTTGTAGGTAGGCCCTTGCTACCAGAGAGAGAAATACAGGATGTTTACCATGTTGGTTTTGTTATTTCTTAAGTTCTGGCTCTAACATAATACATATCAAAGTATTCCAAATGCATCAATGTTTAGAAACAAAACTATGTCACATCAAATTCACATTACAAGAGTTTGGATGAGTTCAGTATAGTACTTTAGATGACATACTGAAAGATAAATAGGCTTGTTAAACACAAATTATAAGGCAATTTAATTATAAGCTACAAGTTCTGTTTACTTAGAGACTATATGTAAGAATGCTGCGTCAAAATCCCTTATCCCCTGACCATATGCCTAGGTCTCATATTTGTGACCCAGTCAATCCTAAACGAATATACAATAGTCCCAGCTATCCTTTCCTTCCCCTCTGCTTACCTATCCTCAGTCACTACAGCTACTTTGGAAATATAGCAATACTTTGAGTTGAAAAAGTAGCAGAGGAAAAATCAGAGAAAGAAGAAACAGTTTATAGGATTAGACCTCTGGGACAAGCTGTCATAATTCATTATGTTGTACTTTAACTTTTATCTAGAATGTGTGAAATTGCTTGTTTCAATATGGTACATTGCCTCTGGTATCATCAAATAGAGATTTTAGTAACAACCACTAATTATACCTGCAAGGAAATCACTAAGTTATGAAGAAAATAATATAATTATTTTGTACTCTAGCACCTATCAAAGAACAACTAAAGAAGAAGAAAAATGGATGATTGCAGCTCAATAACTTGCAAGCACTTTATGCAATTTGGAAAGATAATATGGGCCCTGGGGCCTATATAACATCCTAAGAGCTCAAGTTCTTGGAAGTTAAATACTTATTTTTCTAGATGGCTGAAGGCAGGTATGATACATTGACTAAATCAAGGATTAGTAGGCTTATAGGTTGACAACCTAACAATCCATCTCCCTCTGGTTTTGTCCAATTTTGAGTTCATTAGTTTTCTTGGTACATGGTTCATCACTCTGAACTGTGACAGCATTCTACATAGAGGACTAGACCAGACCAGAGAGCTAGCTAAAAAGATCATAAATGTCAGTGGGCACTTGCTTTCCCAAGTTCAGGCATAAAAGCTGCCTCTCAAAACCCTTGCTTCCTATGTATCTCTGTTCTCATCAACTTCCAAAATTCTGTTAATAAACAGTAAGAAGAATAAAATTTTTTTTCTGAGTCACCAGAAGAATCTACCATTTTCCTCCCATGATTCAGATCATGCTTGAAAGGAAAATGGAGATTACACAGCTCAAACGTCACACAGAAAATTATTTTTAGAGGGTACATGATCCAACTCTCTGGACAGTTATTAGAGCAACAAGGTCACCATTAACCTGCCAAATGGCCATGAATACACTGAGCATTGACCTACCAAGTTAGAAGGCCATTCATTTAATCTTGTATGGTAATATCAGCAATGCTATTAAGTAGAAGACAGAATCAGCTGTAACCAAACAAATCCAGAGCTCCTACGATTTAGCAGGGGCACACATCAGCCACATTTCAAAGGTTGACTGCCTAACTTCAAATAGAGAAGCCAGGAAAGGTGGATCTAGGCAAAGTAGAGAAGGAGGCAAAACCAACTCCCTTCTGCTCAATCTTGCCTAAACTCATTCTCATTCCAGAAAGAAGAACGCTATTCTTTCTTCTCCCTCCATATCACAGCCCCCTGCTCCTAAAAACAAAAATTCATTTACTATATGAGCTGCATCAGCTTTGGTGGGAAAAAAAAAAAGCCAGAATATCTAAATACTCCAACTGAGTTTCCAAGAAAACATGCTCCTAACCATAAACAAAAAACTCACAAAGGATATTGGGAAAACTTGTTTACAATGTGAGAATGTGCTGTGGATGTATGGGGACAGGGTGGAAGGTAGGAAGATAGAAAGTCTCTGAATGGAAAGCAATGGACCCCAGAGGAATTCGAATATCCAACCTCGCAACCAGCCAGGCAGATCTGAAAAAGTCATAATTCAACTGAAGCAAGGAATTGGGAGTGGCAGAGCCCTTGGCCTGTCAAGCAGACCCGACAGGACACAGATGATTGTAATTCTGAAAAACTTCTCAGAAAACCAAGGACATCATGAACTAGGGCAGAGAACAGGCCAGGCTAATGTGTGGCTTAACAGCCTTCAAAAGACAGACTAAGAAGTCTAACAGAGATGGTCAAAAACCCCAATTATGGGGCCAGCACTGTGGTGTAGCAGATAAAACCGCCGCCTGCAGTGCCAGCATCCCATATGGGTGCTGATTCAAGTCCCAGCTGCTCCACTTCCAATCCAGCTCTTTGCTCTGGCCTGGGAAAGCAGTAGAAGATGGCCCAAGTCCTTGGGCCCCTGCACGCATGTGGGAGACCTAGAAGAAGCTCCTGGCTCCTGGTGTCAGATAGGCTCAGCTCCAGCCGTTGTGGCCATTTGGGGAGTAAACCAATGAATGGGAGACCTCTCTCTCTCTCTCTCTCTCTGCCTCTCTGTAATTCTACCTTTCAAATAAATAAATAAATCTTTAAAAAAGAAAAACTCAAATTATCTCTGCCTTACAGAGATTGTTCTCCAGTAACCTCCTCACCCTCTTCCACAAAGCAGTTGGGTCTTAGTATATCCCAGTGTTTTGCAATAAAGACAAACAAGAGAAATGATAAAGGAGATAGTGATTGCCAAGTTTTAGAGTATCTATGAACATTTGGAGAATTTGTTTAAAATGCACAACCTGAGGCCCAATCCCAAGAGATTCTAATCCAGGCAAATTCTGTTCCAGGCAGGCAGTTATGGACCACACTTCGGCAAACACTAAGTGACTACGAGGGCAGTAAAACTGAGACAGGCTAGAAACAAGACTCACAATCAAACCCCACCTAACCCCACATGTATCCATCTCCCGTGGGAACACATATCCATCTCTGACCACAGGTTGTTCCACCACCTCCAAACCAATCAGTAGCAAGGAACAACCACCTTCAAACTGCAAAAGACTCCCTACTGCCCTGTTAGAGATTTCCCCAACCCACATGCATGCCCAGAGTAGCCCAGGATGACCAATATATGACCCTCCTCATACACTTGCATGTTATGTGAAAAGAACCAACTGCACTTAGAATATGGAGCCAGGTGCCAATCAAAGTGCCATGTGCTTCTGAGTGGAGACCAAGAGGTCATAGCCATCTCTCCAACCTAGTAAAAAGCCCTATTCAACTACTGACAAGAAGCCAACTGGTAGAAGTACTTCCTGCCATGTTGTCTGTTTTGTGTGCAAACATAGCCCCCAATAAACCTTCTCAAGGTTGAGCGCTGGCTTGTTGCCACGTTCTGTTTGTAAGAGAGCCAAAGAACCATGGGTTGGTATCAAAAAGGGCAATTTGCTATCTAGCATAGCAGTCTTACATTCCTCTAAGTGGCATAAAAAGTGTGCCATGTGTTCTGAAGTCATGGGAAAGGTGTTGGAAAAGGAGTTTTTCAGAACTGGTCCCATATTACAATTTACAATAGACTTGTGACTATGACTTGAATTACTCTTGTGGCAGGCCAGCCA